GAAGAAGAAACGCCACTACACATCCTATGTGGTTGTAGCCCTCTCATGCATAAACAAAATATCCGCTTTGGTAAGTATACACTATATCCTGAGGAGATGAGAACCATCGTTCCTAAGAATATTCTTCAATTCTTGTCCCTTACGGCTCTAAGTAGCGAACTTAGAACAAGGGCGAGGACAATGGATCTATACAGATCGCAGTGTTATAGGTTTTAGCACCTGACAATAGTGCAAATCCTTATTGTGTTCCAAAGCAAGCTGTATGGTGGCTGAAGTAGATGAGGCAGAAGTATCCAAAGGTATACCTGATGACATTGTGTCCAAGTAGAGGTTATTTATCATTAGAAGTAGAAATATAATTTAAAGCATAATATTTTTACTTTTTTCGGATAAACCATTAAACACTTTAGTAATTAAAATGATTTAATAGGTACATATACTAATTTAACGTTGTAAATAATATAACAATCTTATATAAATTGCAAAAAAGTTTGTCTCGTAAAATAAATACATCAAGATACTGGCCATGCATAATAGGATATTAATTATCTACTTATATAATAAAAATTAAAAAGTGAAAGTAATTAAAAATCATAATTCGATTCCCATACGAACTATTCCGTAATAAAAACCGCGTTATGGGTACATCACTTAGTTTTTTAGTTTTCTTTATTGTGGAACCGGCAACGAGGCAGTTTCGCTCACTTGGTGACCAAGTACACGGTACACAATAAAGTTGATATAACTGGCAGTTTCTAAATAAATTAAAAATAAATTTCGTGAAATTATTTACTAACTGACATTTTGAATAAGTATTCCAAAATTTTGCCTGATGCTCTAAATTTGAAAAAGTTATTAATTCGCCTAACTTAAAAACTAGTCATATATTAAAACATAAATTCAATATAAGTTATGTGGGAAATAATCTATATATATATTATAAAATAATAATAATATATATGGCAAGTTGGAACAGAGCATATAATTTTTGTTAATGGGGTATTTGTCTTCAGTAAATAAATAATACAAATGACAAACTAAAATGACTCTACAATATATTGTACATCTTTAATTAGTATAAAATAAAGTCAGCCGAGAAATTCAAAGATTTGCAATGCATGCGAGCGCAGCCGGGATGGGTCGCTAGTATTATATAATTGAGATATTTACCTCTATAATTTTATTAAGAGCTTCTGATATTTCAACGCAAATTTCAAAGCGAGCATCATCAACAGCTAAGTTAATAATAAATACAATAAAAATTAAATTTCAATTATTCAATACAGCAGCGATATATTGATCGTCGAATAGTCTCGCGTCTACTCGCCCTGTGGTTTTAAAAAATCTTTTTTGTTGAAGGTGAAGGAAAAGGGTTTTATTGTTTTTGGTATGGTTTTAGTTTCTTTTTTTATATATATATTTTATGCTCGGTTTTTCGGTAGGCGGCTTCGAATGGGCGGGGAGCGTTTGAGCGCATGCGTGCCGGCGCGACCGACTCTACACTACGATGATTTTCAATTATATTATTAGTATTAATAATATTAAGTATTTTTTATCATAATAGAATAGAATAGAATAGAAATTATTTATTCAAATTATTATAGTTTTATTTTACATGTATATAGGTAAAAAGAAAATATAGGAAAAGACTTGGAATACGGAGATATATATTAGGAAACGGTTGTCGCTTTGACAGTGAAGTATAAATAAGAATGTACAATTAAAGACCTATAAATTTAAATACAAATTTAGAACGAAACAATACATTTCCGATTAGCCAGATACAATACAAATAAAGCTAGATTTAAACACTTTTGAATAGGTCTATAAGTCGCTAGTTCATATCCGGCTCGAAGGACCACAATGTTGGGAGCTTGGACTGTAATTTATTATAGCTACCTTTTTTGGACCAAACTTATTAGAAATTAGTACTTATAAATTACACAACATATGGTATGTGAATCGTGGACAAAACCAGAGAGAATCAATCAATGGTGCCATCCTGTAGCTCTTGTGTGTTACCATAGACATAAAATAGTTATGTGTTACTAGCAATAAGAAGAAGAAGAGCGAGCAAGAAACTTGTGTGTTTTCCCAATGACGTTTGTAGAGAAATTTTATCTGTTTTTATAAGACTTTTTATTGATTTTATGATAGTCTGTGAATATTTGAATGTATAAAAATTTAGTTTTCGTAAATTTGTTGTCACAAAATTAAAAAAGTAGTCATGTGGATGGCTTGCTTTGTTTATTTATTTTATCAGTCTAGTATAAAACTAATCTAAGTTTTTACTACGATATGTCTGATATATATTTTATTCTCTAATAGATTGCTTTGCGCGCCTTTTGTTAGGTTTATATTAAGTTCCTTTTTTTGTAAATATACTTTGTTTTTTATGCACAATAAAGAGTATTATTATTGATTATTATAGTATTATTATAGTATGACTAGACATATATACTTTACTAACAAGTTTCTACAAATATATTTCATATAGGTATAGATATAGCAAGGCAATATACTATATATTAATAATAAAGATAAGAAATATAAGAAACGAAATTATAATAGTATCTTATCGTGAGGAAAGACTGATGTTTTAGTCGAATTAATAAAAATGCAAATATATCGATTAATTAAAACGATCCATCACTATTATCGATGTCGATGAGTTAACGATGCGGCGACGTCACTACCGTCCGGGGGTGTGTCCGTACCTCGGGGCCCGCTGCATTGTTTTGTCCGTCTGTTTGACGGACGTACACACATACACGTATATATAATACAATACAAATTTGTATTGAAGACATGGGAATATTTTTAGTACTTGTTCAAATCTTATTATCACTTGTTATAGGTGAAAGACATTTTTACTAATTTCTGTAATAATTTATTATCATACCACTTCAGACTGTCGTGGTATAGACGTTTAGTAGATAGATAGATAGACAGAATATAATTGTAATATTCAGTAAAGAAAAGATATAAACAATATATTAAAGAACACATGTATATTTACTACAAGGCCGTTAGTGTAATTCAGTGTAATGATGCTTTCAGCACCCGTAACTCTAGGGGAATTGCAAGTGCGTTGCCGGCCTTTTAAGAAGGAACGAGCTCTTTTCTTGAATGTTTCAATATCGCAATGGTTCGGAAATACTATTGCTTGTAATTCCACAATCTGGTTGTATGTGGTAAAAAATCTGCAATAGGCGAAGCAGAGATTCACACAGACGACTTTTAACAAAGTCTACTTCGGCAAAGTCATTAATCGTTCATTCATTAAATATCAGTCTTACAAGTACAAGCACATATACAAAGTGAACCAATATATTATAAAAAGAACGTTGCAGTTCTTGTAAATAAACCGACAGATTTATAGCCGTATCCGTTTCATAAATTAAAAATAGAGAAGCGGGAATTTGAAAATGATAATAGCATCTAGGAATGGAAACTCGAACCGTCCCGTGTGTTACGATCCATCTAGATATGCATAACAGTTTGCCAAGCGAGCCCCATATATCAAACCACTCACAGAGACATTCTATACTAGGTAATACTCCCTGTACACTCCACCCAACGCAACGTTGTGGATATAAAATGCATGAGAAATTCAAATAAACTTAAAAACTAATAATAATCATAAATAATAATAACAATAAATAAACGAAATAAAAAACATAGATCTGTAATACAATTATAAACAATCAGGAATTAAAAAAAGATTTGAAAATAGAATGCGTAAAATTTGTTGCGTCAAATAATTAAAAAAAATGTTACTGGTTCTGTGATCTGTGAAGATCTGTAAAGAAATTCTAACTGACCTGTAAATTTTAGTTGTCAAATTGAAAAAATATATAAAATTACCGATTTTATATAATGACAATTTGCTTTTATAATATGTGCAATGTGCACATACTGTTTTAAACACAAGTAACACTAGGTGCTGACAAAATCAGTACGTTATATGAACCCGTTTAAGTATAATCAGTGGCGATAAATCAAAAATTACGAAAGTGGACGTCAAAAATTACATAATATTTTTAAAATGCCTCTTCAACGTTCCAAAATTAAATTTTAAAGAGATCGAGAAGCGTTCGAAATTTGAATATTCCGAGTTGTGTATCAACAAGAGCACACGCATTCTTACCGCCAAAAAGCTGGGTGTCGGGTTGTTGGTCTCGCGGCGATCCGATGGGGCGATATAAAGGCAGTAATTACAAGTTACCACTGACTATTATCAAGTAGCGACTGGCTTTCATATATTTTACAAAATGGATGGCGAACATTCACGGGGCATCGTATGGCTTGAATATTTATATTGTAGATTTATTGCGCTGTTTTGTGTGTGTTGATTTACTGAGGGGGTGTCGGCTGCTTGGATGTTTTAGGTTCACTTATAGATTTCGCCTTTTCGCGTGAACTACTGGTATAGAGTTATACTGTGGTAATTGTGATATAATACTACTATTGGAGTAGTTATTTGATTAATGGATAAATTAATTAGATACAATATTTGACAGTTAAATTCTAAAAATGAGAAAGACAATGAAATATAAGTATTCATAGGTTCAAACATGTGTATGTTGAATCGAAATTTCTTGTCTTCAATTTATGTATTTTTTTCCTTACCGTCCAGTTCACTGAAGTTCTACTCAATTGAATCTATAGAAGATTCAATTAAGAAGAACTGAGAAGAAAAATCCTAAATATAGTAGACGGAAATAACATATTTCAATGTCTCATTAACTTTTCAACTTGTGAAGAAGTCACCTTACAAATAAGTTTTCAAATATATTTCCCATAATATAATATAAGGCTCTCAGCCTTATATTATATTACAAGAATATCATGTACATCACGTCATCATGTGATGCCCGTGATAACTCTTATTCCGTTTTATTCGTGAGGTCTAAGGCGTTATGCCTCCGTGCCTTCCAATGCGACTGACAAGTCACGCAAATTTCTGTACGTTTACTTCATTACCAACTTTGTTTCAGAGAAGTGCGGTCTATCTGACGATCCAGGACTTCGAGTGAATGGCAAAGGAAAGAAGATGAGGAAACCCAGGACGATATATTCCAGTCTACAGCTTCAGCAATTGAACAGGAGGTTTCAAAGGACGCAATACCTCGCTCTCCCCGAGAGGGCGGAACTGGCCGCGAGTTTAGGGTTAACTCAAACGCAGGTTAGTACCTATAGCTGTTTGTGAATATTTCCTAAGTCATAAAAAAATATCTATCTCGAGTATTCTAAAGCCGTAAAAATAATATATATAAAAATGAATGTGAAAGGTCTGCAGATAAGGACGTATGACTTACGGTTTTTATGTTTGCCTTTACCCGAAAGAGATGAAGTTACAAAAAAAAAATGTATAAAAGTGTATGATTTCACACATAATAAATATTTGTTACTCCATTCTATTACACTACTAAATGAGCGAATATATAAATACAATAGGAGAAAATAAATTAACTAAAACTAACTGGTAAGACTGCAATTGTCAAGAAAACAAAAACTATAGAAACAAAACGTATATTAAGTAGAACAGTTTTTGTTAGATATCCGTCTTTTTACACCGAAATTAAAAAAAAAACCGGTGCCATAGACAACACTTATCGGCACATAGTAATTATGTCACAACCTTATAATTACACCGCATGTGTACGTTGTACGACTTATTTTTTTATCTACAAATCACTGTACACTTAAAAATAGACTTTAAATAAAAGAAAATAGAAGAAAAAGTAAAATAACATTCTATCTTAGACCATAGATTATAGAGCATATAATTAAAAAGCGAAACTTTTTTAATATCGGTCGCGGATAGTGCACTGTCGTTTCATAGCCAGTAATTATATTTCTATACTCGGCATATTATATTTAAGTATAAAAAATAAAACATCAAATCTAATTATATCAATTGTAATGTATCGCAATACTTTCGTGTCACTACATTCCTTACTGAATTAGAATAAGTATTTAAATATTATAATATAGATACTTAAATATTATATTATAAAAATCATACACGTAGGTACGTACTATGTAACTTTCTATTAATATTACCGACCTCTTATGACTATGATACTATCATTATGACTGTATACGTTCATATTAAATTAGCTTTTGTTTTTGTTATTTGACAGAAAGTTTAAATTTCGAACAAATTTCCCGCGTAATCCTTACATTACTCTATGAATACATTTTTTCGGAGCAAGCAGTGTGGCAACATGTTCGAATACGATGCATCGATTCGATTTGATTCGTATCAGATTGATTCGTTATGTGTCACCGTGCAGAATGAATAATCGTCATCGTACATCGAATGAAGTGCATCCGTGGGATGCCGTTGATTGTAGAAGGCGTAGAGTTGTCTATGACGAAATAACATTAATGTGTTTTGGTCACAAAATGGCTTATGTAGGTAACGTAACTATGTTGTGTCATCAAAAATTACATTTTACACTAATATAAAATATTAATACATTTCCTCAAACTCTGCCATATGCATCTTATTATTGTGTATAAATAAAATAAAATGAATATATAGGTATATATTAAGAGTAGTAAATATTAAGTGTACTATTTAAAGTTTAATAGCCATTATGATCTATGGTTTTGATAACAATAGACAATTTTGAAGCGGTGATATCAAAACCGTATTTTTTTAATTTAATATTTTCATGACTAATATGCTAATAACATAATTTGTTTTAATTTGCCTAATTACAAGATATGTAATTTTACTTTTCTTTATTAGAATGCAAAAATAAAGATCGTAATCCAAATCTACTTTTTAGGCATTATAGTGATGTAACAGATAGACTGTTTCCACCAGAAACAGTCTATCTGTTACATCACTATAATAAACAACTAAACATAAAAATATCCTATAGGAAAATGGCTAATATCTAACATTTACATATTAGCCATTTTCTATTTTAATGTACACAACACCGGACATAAAAGAAGAAAAAAAACTTTAAAAAACTTTTTTTTGTGTTTGACTTATTATACTTAGTTCATTAAAATAGTTTATACATAGACATAATTGTGTATAATATCTAACATTTTTCTACATTACACAATAAATAGAAGTATCTCTAACATTACGTACATTCTAAATATTTATATGTCTGGAAGCCGGTAACGGTACAAAAAGCAAGGTCGAGTTAATTTTATTATAATTTAATATTTCTCAGTTATTGTCTATACGAAGCACTTTGATGAACCCGCGTCGATATCACTAGAGACTTCACAACGCATAGACAATTTTAGCTTGTCGATGTTTTTCATTTATCGATTCATAAACATTTACTTTTTTTTTCGTTTGTCAGGAGGCTTTGTTGCCTATTATGCCACCGCCAAGTTTACGTTTCCCGCCTTTTTTTCCTAACAAACATTTACTTACTACTAAATTAAGTTCATACAATAATACAACGAGTTCTCATATGATTTATCATGAATTTTTTACAGTTAAATTTATTACATATGTTTTATCTTAAAAATATATTTATATTAATACTTATATATATATTCATATTTATATGTTAATAGTGTATATAAATGTGTGTCGGTATTCTGAAGGAGAAAAATAAAGAATTTTCTATTCATTTCATTTCATTAAGAAAACAAATAAAACCATAATAAAAAAAATAACTTCATAGATTAAAATATCTATGATAAATTATCGATAATTAGAACATGTGAGGACCACTCTACTATCGACGGCATGATTCGAAAAGCGGAATACAACTCAATGCTCCTATCTCTTTCTAACAAAAACGGACAATAAACGTCAGTTGGCATACCTAGAACTTCATTAGTTGAAACAAAGAAGCTATTCAATTGTGTAACCTATTACGGCGCATTAAGGTGCATGTTTATTGTAGTTTTGTATCCATGTTTTTTGCCACAGATAATAAATCAAGGCATTTGTCTTTAGGTGCTGCTTACGAGCTATTGTTTTCCTCATTCCAAGATTGCGTTTTCTTAGTATGTTATTTGTTTTTTTACTATTCATCGAGATTAAGCTTGTAAAGGTCAGATAATATTTTCTTTTAATGAAGTTTTCATAATCTATTTGATACCTTACTTGCAATAACCCCCGGCGCTGCCTGTACGTAGGTAACTTTTACACATTACATTATTTAACTAGTTTTCTGTAGGTGGATGAATTTTTATATCAGTCAAGTATGATTGAGTTTGTCCATTAGAAACAAACATACACAATTTATATACCTAGAAGGTTGTATTATAAATGAACACTACAATTTTTTACAAAAAACTCGAAACTAAATATGAGAAATTTTCGTCATATAAATTTTTCTTCAAATTTTTAAAGTTAACTTTAAGTCTAATATGGTAATCGATATTAATATACGCCATAAATAATAAAATATACAGTTGTTTTGATATATCTACCTTTTAGAACAAGTTTCTGAGCACATCGACTCATCACACTGGGCGCGTACCAAATCTATTCGATGACAGCTATTCGATTCTAAAATCGAACCTAACGATTAACCGTGTCATTCCCACATAACCTCGAAATCAGTCACGCCTCTTTCGTATCGTAATGAAGCCTAATCAATAGATCACAATATTATCCACACCAATACTAATTGACGTTATCTCTATGATTTTTTAAATTTATTATACATGTAGAAAAGTATAATGAAAGTGTAATAGAGTCTCGATTATTTAATTTCAAATTTAGAACGAGAAATACTCTGTGGTTATATCTCAGATGCAAAGGTATTCTATTAGTGGTAGTCTTATCACTAGATACAAAATATTTTATGTACGTAACTGGGATACCATTTTTTAGCACGTCATATTTGCAATTTGCAAATATATACTGCATTGCATATATTAATTTTAAACGATTCGTCTCAATGTGGTAGATATGTCACTTAAAATGAAAATGTTGTGTGAAATTGCAAGTTGTTCTGTTTTAGAACTATTAGATACAAATTGGTTCAATTCCCATAAGGGCGGTACCAGCTCTTACAAAGCGTAGTGTTAATTGCTCTATGGATGCTATAGTATCTACTCAAGTCGCATTTCAAACAAAATCAATTTTATGTGTAATGCATCCACTTGTTTTATTATTGCATTGTTAGAAATTGATTATTTACGTAATTTTATAGTTTTCGTCCTCAAAAGTAACGCATATATATAGAATAAAATATTTGTATTATGAAACTATGACAAAACTTTTTCAGCATCGACTTTTATACCGTGCTATTTTTTTTCTGTTTCGCAAAAGGCTAGTATCTTTTGCCTATTGTGCCATTAATATACAGGAAATGAAACTGTACAATGGAAAGGAACGGGTAAAATTTTGAAATTGCTCGAAAATGGTGATCATGGATTTTAAAGTTTAATGCTATTATAGATAATAAAATGTGGCAATTTTTTATAAACCATTAGATTAACATATGTAAGTTAATAGCCCTACGTTGTATTTATTAAGTTAGTTTTTAAATTAATGCACAGAGAAGCATAGACAATGTAACTTATTTAAAAACAGAACGTCAATGTTACTGGCCAGTCGAAAAACATCGTCGAATCGTCGAGACAGAACGAAATGATGATGGATGATGCTTTAGTGTATTACGAATTACTGCATTGCCGTGTGACGAATCAAATAGATATATATTATATATGGCTGCTACTGTATTGGAATTAAAAATAAGTGGATTTCCAATTGTACTGAGCTTTGATTTCAAGTTTGGTCATTAGACATATGAAAACAATTTATCATTTTTTTCGATGGATGTAGATTAGATTATTGTAGTGGTGCGGTGGTGATAATTATTCTTTGTTTTATTTTAATGGACGTGTTAATATTATAGGTTTTGTATTATTTGGAACCGTCGCCTTAACACTGCGCATATTAAAAAAAATATTAAGTAAGCTTTATTATCCATATAATAAAGCAAACTTAACAAATTTTTAAATAGACTACATTTTCAGAATTTATTTTATAAGCCTTTATATAATAAACGCTGAAATTTAGTCTATTTATATTGTAACATTAGTTTAGACAAAGTGAACCCAACGGTTCCTGTATTTAAGACATATTTTATATCTAATCAATAAAAAAAATTATGTATAATGGTAACACAAGTCGCCGGAGTCAGAAGAAGAGAAAAAAGATGAAAACATCATTCGTTTGAG